GCTGCGCGGCCGCCGTTTCCAACTGCCCTCTTCCTCCAGACGGCTCGTCCTTCCTTTTCTTGCTCCACCTCTCTTTCGAGGCGCCTCTCCACCTCCGCTCGCAGACGCGAACCGAAAGCAAGAGAGAAAGAGAAAGGCCCATTCGAACTGGCAGCACCGGCAATTTGCCACATGCCTACGTTCGCTGCCTCTCCTTTCTCCTCCGGAGAGGAGACTGCGTCAACGACAGTCGAATCCGCCGCGAAACTCACCGACCTATCGATCGGACGCGATCTCGATGACCGGTGACGTTCAGGCATTAATCAGGTGCACGGGATTCTCACGACCCGGACGCTCCAAGAATTAGATATTCATTGTAAATATTCGAATAATTATTTTCGACGATTGATTAGATTTTAGGATTTTAGAATTTGGTAGTGTCTTTTGTTTTCTATCCAGATTTTAGTAATTGTTAACACGTCGAAATTGATATTTCGTGACATTCGTCGATAACATTGTATTCCGCTGTCCAGTCTATCGATTGTTCGGTATTTTTCGTATGCGAACGCTGAGTCAATCATTTTTAGCCCCTTTTATAAGATTAAACGTATCTCTTCTTGGATCATTTATATGCACTTTAATGATTTCAAACTTCAAGGAAAATCTGAGAAAATTCTTGGATGTATTTATTAATATCTCTATTCGAAGAAACAAAGATTCCTTTCGTAGAACGTCAAAGGCGAAACTTCTCTTCAGCTGGTTAATTATATGGTACTGAGTGTTTCGATTCTCGTATCAGAAATCATAACATGCTTCGAACATTCAAAAAATACAGATTCGATAAGCGAAAGACTAAGTCAAAGATTGCAAGCATACGCGTGATTCCAATAGGGTGAATCGAGGTGGACAATAAAAGTTAAAGAAGCCTCCCGAGAAGACGCGAAGGAAGCAGGGGTGGAAAAACCGGGTGGCCAGCAGGAGGAAAAGTGAAATGAACTGTAAAGCGGAATGCACAGACTGTAAAGTTCACCGCTGCGGAAATCCATGGGCATGGGAGAAAGAAGAAAAAAAAACTGAGAGAAGGAAACGCAATAGGGGGTGGCGGATACAGCCTCTAGGTCCCGACGACTTTTCGTCGGCCGATGATCTTTAAATTAAGTGCACCGGCTTATGACGCCCGTGTAAAGTCTTCCGGGGTGGATTTTCGCGAGTAGCAGCACAGAAAAAAAGACTCTTGAAACGCGTGGCGAATGCGGCCTGACGGGCAACCCCCTCGGCGAAATGAATCAAACGCACCCTCGCTATGCAGCACATTCATTAGGCTGACACGCCTGGCACGGGCCATTTGGGATGCTGACTATTCCCGCAGAAAGAGAAAAATAAGGATACTTTTCATGGAAAAGGAGAAAAGAAAGAAATCGAAACAAACGTCGCGTTACGAATGAAACGAAACAACCCTCGAAGGTAAACACAAATTTACAATATTAAAGAAAGGTGTACATATGATCGCGATATTATATTATAAATATATATTATAAAATAAAGAAAGGCACAGGTATTTTTTGCAATAACAGATGGACCAACAAATTTTATTTCCTATACAGCTCTTTATTTTTCTTTTTTTTTTATTCTTCCTCTCCGATGGATTACTTTGTTTGCAATCCGCGGTGTAAGAGACACAGTGAGAACAGAGTACCACTGTTGAAAAAGTAATGGCTGGTGATAGCCATGTAGGGGAAGAGGAATATTCCTGGTGGATTCATAAAAAAAAAGTGCTCGAGTCACCCCTGAAAAATAACAGGAAACCGGGGCGCAAGCTCTCGCCATACGGCCGTGAAAGCGTTCGGCGTTAAAAAATCATGAGGGTGTCGTTTTCCTCGTCCGTGGTTTCTCTCCTACCTCTACCCCACCGGCTTTAAGTCGTCTCGAATACGATATATTTTCAAGTCCTCCATGGCGATCGTGCCTCGTGAAAGTTCAGTCTGGAAATTCCGTCCTCGAATTCAGAAACTAAATTATCCGTAACCACAACGAGTAACTTTGAGTTTGAAAATATTCGTTGACCGAAAGAGAAAAGAAAAAAAGAACACGAAGGTCCGCGCATGAAAGTGCAAAAGGTTAAGGGATTCCGGCTGACCAGGGAAGTTCGTCGCGATGTTTTCGTTCAGGGATGGGAGGGGGTGCGGCATCGTAGATGGCAACATAATCCTTGATAGAGGGCCATGACACATGGGAACATGGGGGACATCTTATCTTCATATTACACACGTGTGACGGTTCTCAACTCACGATTTCCACGATTAAATGTTCATCCAAATATATTCCTTCATAAAAGTGGAACAGTTTTCTAAAAAAAAAAAAGCCTACATATAACTCCTTAGATGCCAAGTATATCTTTTAATCGAATGATCGAATTATATTTTACGAAATGCTATCTATCTTGTAAATGTAGAAAGAAGCAAGTTCTTTCGAACGTAGGTAACGTTAAAAGATCAGAATTAAAACTTCCGACGCGGTTTCGTCTTATGAGTCCTTTTTGCAGAAAACTGCTCGATTATATATACGCTAGTATGATGACACAAAAATTCTTGCAAACGAAAAGCTAGAACAGTAAGTTTCTAAAGGAAGTTCAAAGCGTATAAGACCTCGCTTTAATCCTGGAACGAAACTTGCAACGTCCACGATGAATCGATGATTCCTTTCGCGATGAAGGACTCACAGCCGGATTTTCGCGAAATCGATATTCTATTGCTGTAAAAGTGCACGTTGGTGAGTAAACAAGTTCCTCGAAAGCGGTGGATTCGCGTGGTGAATCGCATGGATCACGCGTGCACGACCGGAAGAATCGACATGCGCACCCACACGTAGACATGGGTGCTCAAGTTCGGGACGATTTCAGTGACCGGAGGATGGTTTATGAGCCGTAACCTTCCTGTCCAACCTTCCTCTTCCTTCTACCTAACTGAAGAAGCGCCCTTGCACCAAGTAACGCGACTCCATCCCTCTGTAAACTCGATGCAATATATTAGGGGTAGATTTCGCGAGAAGAAAGTATCGACGCGTGTATC